CCGCACTGCTGGAGACAGGGCCCGGTGGCTGCGGGCTGCACTGGCAGGGGTGCAGAGCAGCCGGGGTGCTGTGCTGGGCCCGATCAGGTGACAGTGTGTGGCTCTTGCCTCGCACCCCGCTGCCTGCCAACAGAATTACCGAGGCTGCCAGTGATTTTTCCTCCTTCTGTGTTTTCGCTCTCACCACCCCTTCAAAGATGGAGGCATCAAGCAGAATTAAGGAAGCAGACTGAGCTGCAGTGGAGATGCGTACCGCTGCCGTTGGCTGGGGGAAAGACGCATTATTTCCATTAAATTCTCTGGAAGCAGACACAGGCTTCCGCAGAGGACTCTAGTTGGATCCGTTTTACTGCAATACTTGCATCTTTGTGTAATTTTCACGGCCAGTAGGGAGAACACAGAGCTGAGTGAGCGAGCTGTTATGTTCTCAAGGTTTTCATTATCTTGAGTCTGCATAATGAATGATTTTTATACAACGTTGGCATTGGAAGCAACCTCTCCACCAGTTGTACTAGTCCTGCCTTCATGACTGCTACTGCCTGTGCCGTGCTTTCACTGACTACAGAAAAATGCCCAGATTAAACAGTGATTAAGGGGTTTTTTTTTCCGTTAAACCAAAATGCTTTACTGAACAGAGAAACATAAGTATACAATCTTATAATTTCTACCCAGTATACTGTACTAGCGAAGCTGGTAACCTCTGCTGCTCCTGCACTATAGAAGCAGAACTGCCATTGTATTAGCTGACACGCTGAAGAGTAAAGAAACACTTGGGTTGTACGCAGCTCTGGGTGCTGGCGTCACCTTTTTCTTGCCTTTGAGTACTTTGGTGTGCCTGGTTTCTAGCTCTCTTAGGTACTTACAGATCCCCCTTTCATTGACTCGCAGTCTTTGATGTATTTATTATCTTCCCAGCCATTCTCTGAAGGAGGAAAACAAGATTTTCCTTGTTTTGCAAAGAATTAGCAGTTGCAGAGAAACTGGGACCGTGCGCTTCACTCAGGTCTGTGGCAGCAGCAGCTGTAAATGAGTCTGAGTTGGTTTGTTTCGGCTGTCTTCACCAGATAGCAACAGCACACAGTGCAGTGCGCATTTCACTTCTGTTAACTGAAGACACAACAGTGTCCCAAGAAGGCTTCTTACTACATAGGAGGTCTCCATCCCTTAGTCAGTCATCAAAATAAATAGAATTTGGCTTGCTTCTTTTAAAATAAGGTCTTAGTAACTAGGATTAGATAGAATAAAACTCTTTAGAAACTTATTCTGTTGTACCAAAATGCTAGCAACCGCAGCTCCCCTGCAAAACAGATGCTCATGAGGAGTTGTTCCTCAGCTGAAGTTCATGAATTCTCATACTTCAACTTAATGCTAATTTGTAGAATTATTTTTTCTTCCTAGAAGTTCTTTAAATCTACCTGGACTAATCCTTCTTCTTTCCCATCAGAACTGTGGTCTAACATTGCTGTGAGCAGGTAAATTTCTCTCTAGCCCTGCATGCTCACATTATAGTGAGGAGCACTTGATAACATCTGGAAACATCTGATCATCATGTTCAGAGAAAGGGCTAGAAGTGCTAAGCCTTTTTAGGAATTCAGATGTTGGGCAGATATTAGAGCATATTTTGTTTTGAAAAACATCCTTTCTCCAGTCGGATGCCCTGCATTTGTGGCAGGTGAATGTCCAGATGTTTTTACTGGGTCAGTATGGGCAAAGACATTCTCCTTGCCTGGAGCCCTACTGTCCCACGGCACAGCCCCAGAACCGTGCAAGTAGTTGAGAAGGCAGAGTGTCCTCTGCGCTACCACAGGAAGAATCTAACCCAGGCAGAAAACTCCTCATATCTGGGTTACTATGGAACAAGCCAGGTTTGAAGTTGAGGCCCTAACTGCCATGTGTGATGAGAAAGGTGCTGAATGTGGAGCTGGGATCGTGCTCTCACTGCTGCCAAGGGACGGGGATGAAGATTTGCATGGTCATTCCCATTTGTAACAGTGTAATAAAGAGGAAGACTCGTATCCATCCAAGAATGATGCTGCCTTGCCAGTATCTGCAGGAAAACCCTGACACACAGGGTACAATTCAAACAGCATAGCAGAGCAGGAGGAGCAGCATCGTGCTTCCAGCTCAAACTAACGATGGCTGAGTGACGATGGCCCCGTGGCAGCGTGGTGCTCACCAGCCCATCCTGCAGCAGCTTGCTGTGCAACACACGTCTGTGTGCTCAAGAAAAGCTCGCGGCTGCTGCAGCGTTTCAGGCAGGGAGCGAAAAGGCCGAGCGGAGCCGTGCACGGTTCCGAGTTGCCCATCGTGGCGCCTGCGCCAGGGCCAGCACGAGCCCGTGGGAGTCCCGGGCCAGAAGCCAAGATTTGGTTCCACTCCCAGAAAAGTCAACGAAACCCATTTAAAGCGGAATGGTTTCATCCTGTACTGCATGCTGAGTGACTTGCCAGTATTACTGTTAACAGCAGGGGTTTATCCCAGGTACAAGCTAACGGAGCGCAGAGTTGCAGCATTTCGGTGTAGCTGATTAGTGGAGCCCTGGACTAAAAGATGCCGAATCTGTCATGTGCGGGTGGGCAGGATCTCACCTGGCTTTAGAGTCTGACTGCTTTTCAGAACTGCCTAAACGTTTTTCTGTTCAATAAGTCCCTTCTCGTGGTGCCATTCTCAACATCAGCTAATTGCCGTCCTGTGCTGAAAGAAGAAAAGCCCTATCTAAAACAAAGCGGCAGCTAAAATTCGGTGACCCTGTCAAGGACTTCAGGACCTGAGTTGTCACTGGTGTCTTTATGTGGAAAATGTTAAGACAGCACAGTGCTGAAAAGTGACACAAATTAGAAAAAAGGGCAGGAGCTACTGCACACTGGGAATGTTAAATGTCACAGTGTGTGGTTCTGACTGTGCAGGATTTCTTTTCCCTGTCCTCTTCCCTTAAAATAGTTTTTTCTTGAACAACAAAACTTTGTCTTTCTTTTCTGCTTCACAGATGAGCAGAGAAAATACAGCAATAATTTCCAGAGATGTTTTGCAGATATTTTTGCTTCCTCAGTCTGTGTCTCTTCCTTCCAACCCACAGGTAAGCAGAATGTTTGTTTTGTTTTACGGGGAACGCTTGAATTATGTTTCATATAAATAATGTGAGTCACAAGGAAATTATGCTTTTAATCATCCGGCCTATCCTCAGGAAGGTGGGTGCAGCAAGGGATGTGGCACAGAAGAGAGCAACCTGCATAAGTCCCTAAAACGCAACACGTACATTAACAGTGCAAACCCTTATTTCGTGTTCAGGACCAGGACAGTTTGCAGGTTTTGCTGGAAATGTCCCCCCCCCCTCTATCCCCCCAGGACTCCCAGCTGTGTTATTACCATCCCTGGAACCTACAGGTCCTAAATTTTTTGAACAGTTTATGCTTATGCTGTGCACTAATTGGCTCAGTTCTGCTGCAAGGACCTTTTGGGTCTAAAACCTGCAGCAAAGCTCCAAGGACTACTAACCTGGCTTCGAAGAGAACAGAACTAAAAACAAGATCATCAGAGCTTTGAGTAACTACATTGCTAAATTTCTTTCTGCACGGACCGGTGGTCCCGAGACTCTGGGGAGAGGCAGAGGCACTGCCTTCCACCTCCTTCAGCCCTTCACAAAGCAGTGACAAACTCCTAACGATTCACTCATTTACATTTTCATCAAGTGAGCACCTGACCACACAGGGACCCTGCACCATAAAACTCACCTCTTGCAGCCCAGACCCCCTGTCCCTCTAGCTGTCTATACAATGGTACAGAGCTGCGAGCCTCATAATGTCAGTACTGGCTTTATTGTCCATCCTCAAAAGATGAATTTTGACATTGTAAATTAGAGCTGAACCCTCTGTGTGCACAGCAGCCAGGGCCGGTGCAGCCTGCAAAGCTCTGCTGGTGTCTGTGAAGTGCTCGGTGCTCTGCCTTTCTCCTTTCAGTGCACTCAGAGCTTTTACTCCTGATGGCAGCAGGAGGGATGCTGCCTGATGCTAACACACGAGCATGAACGCTTCTTGAGGGGACCAGTGATTAGGGAGGAGGAGCTGTTGGTCAGTAAGATTTGTCTTGGGCTGTCGTAAGCAGGAGGAAGAAGAAATGCATGTTCCTTATATAAGGAGGAGTGGGAAGGGGGAGATTGTGGGTTGTTAGTAAGACTCGTGGTGTATAGACCTTGTTTGATTTGTCTGGGACGTTTTAAGAATGTCCTTAAGCTACTATGTGTGCCAACCTGTAGCTGCCAGCTGAGGTAATGTGACATTTTCCCACCTCTTCAAGGTGCTAGTATTAAGCCAAGATAAGCAACGTGAGCACTTGCTCATGATTTCAATGATCTACTTACTTTTAATAAGCATTTTATGCAGTTTGTTTTCTTGTTGGAGCACAAGCTGGAAAGGCAGCCGCAGCTGCACACCAGAGGTGCCCAGCATGCCCAGCCACACGTAACAATACCTGTTTGTGTCCCCAGGAGGTGCTCCCTGGGTCACACAGCTGACTTGCACGGCAGCGACAGAACATCCCTCCCTGGATTTGAGAACCTCACCATGGGATACAACAAATACCTCAGGCCCTACTTTGGTGGTACGTTGGCTCCATGCATTTGACCACTTGAAGAATAGTTGGTAAAGCTTGTGGGGAGGGGAGAGCATGCTTTAAGCTTTCTTCAGGATGCCCCAGTTTAAAAGATTGTGTTCATTTCAAATTAGCTAGTAGCCAAGGCTGCCCTCCTTTCTGTGCATCCACTGTTGTCTTGAATAGACTGTGCACGCGTGGGGCATGAGAACATGTCCATCTATGCGGTTAAGAACAGGGAATTTATAAACATCGATACCTCTGTGAAAGACCTGACAGAGAAATTAGATTCTGCTCTAATTGTACATGATTTTGTTTAGAATCTGATCGTTGCGATTTTCTGCTTTATTTTTTTTCATGTATATCTGTTTAGTAGATTGTGGTTAGAGAGGAATAAAGCCGTTCTCCTTGCTAGAAATACTTTGACACATGTTTTCACTTCACACTGAGACACAGACTAAACCTGCTTTAAACCCTGGTGAAACTCTAGGGCGTAGGGAGCACCTGAAGGACAGCCGGGTGGTATGTAGGAACTAACCTGAGGCTGTTGTCCAGTTTGGGTGTCAGGTCTCCCACTTTCCAGGTGAGTGCTGTAACAGCTCCTAGGAAAGGGTTTCTCAGAATGGTGTTCTGCACCTGAAAAATAGCGATGACAGTTTAAAAAACAGCTATGATAATTTTTATTAATGTTGCTTTTCTGCCAGAACCCATTAATGAAGCTATGCTTAACAGAAAAATTCCCCATTAGCTTTCAGCAG